CCCCCCCCCCACGCCCCGCCCCGCCGGGAGCTCCCCTAACGCCTACCGCACCCGCGCCCGGGAGTCCTCCCCATCGACCCCCGCCTCAGCCTTCCTCCCGCCACACGCAGCAGCCGTTAGCCCTCCCCTCCCGTCTCGGCCCCGGGGGTGGGGCCCGCCCGTCCCGTCCTCCCCACCCCCGCAGCCAGTCGTCCTCTCCTCTGGCCCCCAAAGCCGGCCCCACCCGACCAGCAGGAAGCCCTCCGCTCAGGCCCCCCCCCCACGCTTAGCCATTAGCCCCACCCTCTGCACCCCGACTCCAGAACGCCCCCCACCGGCCACCCCGGAAGCCAGCGGTCCTCCCCTCTGACCCGCTCACTGGGGGACCCTTCCCTCAGCCCCCCTTCAGCCCGCTACCCTCCGCCGCCGCTCCCCCACTCCCAACCGAGCAGCCCGTAGCCCTCCCCCGACCTCCACTCCTTCCCGGGGCCCCCGGTACCTGCGGAGTCCAGCCCCCGGCAAAGCCCCCGCCTGTCTCCTGACTCGCTCTGACTCTGTGGATGGCTCCGGAGTCCCACTCACGAGGGGCTGAAGAGCTCGTCTCAGCAGAGCAGCCAGGAACTGTGCCGCCGACTGTCCCAGGCACTCTGTGCGAACGCCACGTGGGCTTCCGGGTGCTCCCGGAAGCCCCAGGAAGATGAGGGAGAAAGTTCTAGACGTCTCTTTACAGAGAAAGTGGTTGGATCAGAAGAGCACGTGAGGTGATTCTTTGCTAATGTAGCAGCAGTAGCCATGAGCACTGAGGGCCTGAGGTCCCAAGGCTTGGCGCCTCCGGAAGCAAGATACGCCCATTGGCCTTCCACCAATAGGAAGGCCTCCCTGCAAGGCTGTGGAGTTGGGGGAGCACACTTGGCGATGCAGAGCCCATGGGGGCACATTGGTCAATCTGTCTTTACAGGTGGGTGTCTACTGTGATTGATAATGTTATCAAGCTATTCTTTTTTCTTTCTCTTTTTTAATTTGATTTATTTTTTTATACAGCAGGTTCTTATTATCCATTTTGTACATATTAGTGTACATATGTCAATACCAATCTCCGAATTCATCACACCCCCCGCCCACCCCCACCACTTTCCCCCCTTGGTGTCCATACGTTTGTGCTCTACATCTCTGTCTCTATTTCTGCCCTGCAAACCGGTTCATCTGTACCATTTTTCTAGGTTCCACATATTTGCATTAATATACGATATTTGTTTCTCTCTTTCTGACTTCCTTGACTCTGTATAATAGTCTCTAGATCTACCCACGTCTCTACAAATGACCGAAGTTCGTTTCTTTGTATGGCTGAGTAATAAAGTTATAGTAATAAAGCAATTCTTTATATGGGCTGATTTCTTGTCTAGTTGTATCAACTAGGCATCTTCTCACATGGCAGAAGACGATGAGGCAGCTGTCTGGGGTCTGTTTTATAAGGGTGCTAATCTCATTCATGAGGGCTCCACCCTCATGGGCTAATCACTTCCCAAGGCCCCACCTCCAAATCCCATCCCTTTGGGGGTTAGAATTTAACAGGTGAATGAGGGAGAGATCTTTACAAATATTCAGTCCATAGCACTATCTGTCCATCTATTTTTGCTTCTATGTTCCCTATTTCCTGCCTGGGATAATCAATCCTTTACATTATATTTTAACTTCTCTACTGCCTTTTTAGGCAATTATCACTGTTTGCTGTTCTAGACATTATAATATATAGTAAGTCCCATACATATGAACGAGTTCCATTGTGACAGCCTGTTCATAAGTTCAGTTTGTTTGTAAGTCCAGCAAAGTTAGCCTAGGCACCCAACTAACACAATTGGCTATATAGTACTGCATTGTAATGGTTTACAATACTTTTCACACAGATGATATATAAAAAACAAACAAAAAATAGAGAAAACATTTTTAATCTTACAGTACAGTGCCTTGAAAAGTACAGTGGTGCAGTACAACAGCTGGCATCCAGGGGCTGGCCTTGAGGGAACAGGCAGGAAGAGTTACTGACTGGAGGAGAGAGAGGAGGTGGGAGATGGTAGAGCTGAAGGATCGTCAGCACTAGGAGTTGGAGAGCAAGCTGCAATGTCACTCACACCTGAAGTTGTTGGAATGCATGTGCACATCTTTCAAAGTTCACAATTTGAAGGTTCGTATGTCGGGGACTTATTCTAACATGTATCCACCATTATAGTATTATACAGAATAGTTTCACTGCCCTAAACATTCTTTGTTCTCTGCCTATTCATCCCTCCCTTCCCACACCCCCTGGCAACTACTGATCTTTTTACTGTCTTATAGTTTTGCCTTTTCCACATTGCCATATATTTAGAATAATACTGTGTGTAGCCTTTTCAGATTACCTTCTTTCACTTAATAATATACATTGCAGTTTCCTCCATGTCTTTTCCTGGCTCAATAGCTCTTTTGTCTTTAATGCTGAAGAATATTCCATCATCTGAATATACCACAGTTTATCTATCTATTCACTGACTGAAGGACATGTTGGTTGCTTCCAGGTTTTGCAAATTATGAATAAAGTGGTTATAAACATCTGTGTGTAAGTTTTTGTGTGCACACAAGTTTTCAGCTCCTTCAGGTAAATAACAAGAAGCATGTATGATAAGAGTATGTATAGTTTTGTAAGAAACCTCTAACTTGTCTTCCAAAGTGGTCATACCTTTTTGCATTCCCAACAGAAATGAATGAGAATTCCTGTGCTCTACATTCTCACCAGCATTTGGCGTTGTCAGTTTTCTGGATTTTGGCCATTCTGATAGGTATGTAGTCATTCTAGTAATTTTTTATTGCATGCCATGCATAACATACAAAAGAGCCATAGTATTTCTAGATGAGATATTCCAGAGAGACTTCAAACTTTCTCTGTTTAGGCAGATAAGGTAAGGGGATGCTTTTCTCAATCCAATTCAATATTGAGCTGAGTCAGGGCTTGATTGCAGTTTAAGTAAAACAGGCTACTGTGGTTTGCTCTTCTTCTCTAGGATGTAAAACATTGATGGGCTTCTGTCTTTTAATCCCTGAAAGACTATGGAAAATCGAGATCTGCCATTTACAGTTTGCAGTCTCCTGTAGCTTCAAATTCTAGCACATCTCTGTTTCCTAAGAACTGGGTGGTTGCTGGA